TTCTTAACTTGAAATTTTCCATTTATCTTTAAGCCCATTCAATAATCTTTCAGTTTTGACGAAATAACGAAGATAGTAATAAGTGAAATAGTGGTGCAGTAAGGATACACGAAACAACACTGCTATGCTCAAAGTACTACACGGTCGGCGCTTTGCGAAATGAATTCATTGGTCTTTTCCATTATCCGAGTTGATTTCTGCTAGCAGATGCGCTGAGCTGAATTTCTTTTGCTATGTGGTGCTCATTAAGGCCCAGTTACTTTGCTTTCGTTACCATTCCACAGCAGTTTCTTTCTAGACCAGAAAAGGTTTTTGTGGATAATTATCGCAAATCTTCGTATTTTCTGATGCTCTGTGAAAATGATTTTTGTCCGTTACCAAGACTGCTCAAATACGGTTTGTTAACGTTAGTTCGTTTCGACGACATACGACGAGTAGCACAATCTCGCATTCATCATTTCAATGTTTGAGTGCAAGCACACATGAGCATTCCGCCACTAACATAACTTATTTTGCAAAAACGTGTCTAGTGTTTATTTAAGCAAACATTCAGTCAATTTTAGAAATAAATAGGACACTCGAAGGGGAACTATTTTGGGGAACAGCGTTGGTGCGCCAATACGCGCATGGACAGTGCATCGTCAAATGGCTTCTGAGCCATTCAGGGCATGTGAATGCCCCAGTTCAGTTTCAGGAGTTTGCTGTGAGTATAAAAAGTCATGTGTTCGCTCACTGTTTGCGAGTCGTGAGCGAGTACGGATGATCTGTTCATAAATGGAGTTTGAGAGCTTATTTCGAGATGTTTATTTTGCATTACGTGATGTAATATTGATAGATTCTCAAGACTTAAAGTAACTCCTTCCGTAAATTCTACAAAAAAAGATTTTGTAATGACCGCTTCATAATATCTGCAAACGCACAGAGCTGCAAGAATCAGATTCATAGTTTTTGTCGTAAAAAGGTCAAATCCAGTGCGATAGCTCGGTGAGATGAGGAATATGCAGCATTGCCTAGCAAAATGGGAAAACAGAATTTTCACAAAACTGGAATTTCTTTGAATTACTACCGGCAAAGTCTTAAAAAAATGCCTTGGCTGCATATCGGACCTACTTACAAAAAAAGCATTTTCATCTGAGGAAAATCTGCGGCTATGTTTCAACTGAGTTGTGGACTGGGTTCGGATTTGATTGGGTTGTGGAAGAATGTGTTTCGTTTTGCACCAAATTTTCACTGAATAATAACTGGCTGGGGCGCCGATGCTTTGTACCAACAGTGCTGTAATGGCCTCAGATTTGGGCAACATAACCTTCCTATACAGTAATAAAACGTGAGTGAAAAAAAAGACGAACTCATTAGCTT